CGTAATTAGAGCACAGGACCTCCTGATTACGCATCAGATGTGTTTCTAATGGCACAACAAAAGCGCGCAGAAAAAGGAGGAAGAGGATACCTTACATACTGCCGATTTTTTAAAGGGCGATTGGGGATGAGAGGAAACCCAATCGCGAAATACGGGTAGTGACGAATTATCGTTCATCACCTCTAAGTTCGGGAGTCACTTGTAGAGAAATTCAAAATATTTAGATGCCAAGGAACTGCAGAAAACAATGCCCTCGCCTAATTCATGCTAACTACAGTTACGCATGACGACGGGCTGCCGTAAACAACTTACGTTAGTTATGTATTAATTATTATTATTACTTTACGAATTTTCGACAATTTAACTTCATCATTAAAATGTCTGTGTAAAATTATAACAAATTAATTAATATTGGACAACAAATTAAATAACGCACCATTTAATTTCAAGATAATTTAAATAACATTGCGATTATTTAAATCAGATACTGAGGTTATCTGCAACTAGTAAATCAGGTACTGAGTCTTTTCAATAAAATTTTTAGATGTAGGTTTCAGTAAATTTTGTATGATTTAGGTCTTTAATTTAACATCGGTACATTAAAGTTTTCGATTTTTCTACAAAACGATGATAAAAAATTTCTTAAGTTTTGAAGTTTCGTTTTCTTCTGTTTAGAAGTTTTGTTGATTTATTTCTAATCTCATTTGAATCAGAACAAGTCAATGAATTAAAGTCAAGGAGCATCAGAAGTGAAAAATTGAGTCTCCCGTTGGCACGAGGCTTGAGCATCATACAGGTGACAGTACGACGTTGTTCAGTTCTGCTCCAATTTTGAAGGAGAGCAACCCGACGAATGGGTCTTAGGTTCTTCCACCCTTCTTCCTCTACTATCAAACCACTCGAAAGAACTTTCGCCTCCCCATAAATTTTGAGTGCCCCATATCGTACATGCACACGCATTTACACACATCTATGAGGTGTGTGATTATGGCAAAGCCTCGAGGGCTATCTGCCTAAGGGGAGGGATGCCTTCGTGGAGGACTTTCTAAGGGAAACTGGCTCGTATACACGTTAAACATGAGGAAAACCACGAAAATGCCCATGCAGCCAGCCCGTTCGCGGGATTCGAACCTTGGACCGAACTACCAGTGTTCAGCGACTTTACCTCTCGGCCGCTAGTGGGCTACACATCTATGAGGAATCTTACGGTAACTAACCAGTTATTGTGATTTAAGTCTTTATTATAACTTTACTTTTCCGTATTCCTCACCAGAATGCAAAAAGCTTTGTGTTTATTTATTCAAGCTGAGGGTTTTGAATCTTGAGATTACAGCTTCCGACAACCGCGTGTTGTTATTAGTATTTTTTTCCCAGATCCGCTTAAAAATTATTATTCCAGCTTTAGCATCTCTTTAGCTGATGTTTGAAATTATGCGTAGATAATATATTTGGACACAGTTCATTTTAGTATGTTTATTGTGTTATCAACGTTTGAATTTAATTATCTATTACGTTAATTTTAATATCCGTATTCAGTGGAAGTTTCGTCTGTAGCATAAGTTGGGACTTTAGAAAGAAATGGGTTTTCTGTATTCTGTTTTTAGGCACTTAGCTGCATCTATATAGCTGATGTTTCAAATTATGCTTAGATAAATTATTTGGAACAAGTTCAGTTTAGTCTGTTTGATGTGTTATCAGCGTTTGAATTTAATGGTCTGTTATATTAATTTTAATATTTGTAAGTTGTGGAAGTTTTGTCTGTTGCACAAGTTGTAACTTAAAAAAGAAATGAGTTTTCTGTATTCTGCTTTATGATCACTTAATATGATTAAAGAACTGAGAACTGAAACGTTCTTGAGGTGTTTGAGTAAAGAGCTGATTTTATAATAATATGAGTACTCTGTGACCTTTCGGATATTAAAGTCATAGAACATGATTATGGAACGTTGGTATATTAAAGTTTTAGATATTTCTACAAAACGATGATGCTGCAAAATTTCTGAATAGACACCATTCAACATGCAATCTGTTTTTCAGATGGAGGTTCGAATCCCGCGAACGGGCTGGCTGCATGGGCGTTTTCGTGGTTTTCCCCATGTGTAACGTGTATATAAGCCAGTTTCCCTTAGAAAGTCCTCCACGAAGGCATCCGTTCCCTTAGGCAGATAGCCCTAGTGTGCTTTGCCGTAATTAAATAAACAAAACCATCTGTTTTCAGATGACACAGTATGCGATTTCAGTTTGAAGATGAATTTCCCACTTCATCTCCTCTGCTAAGGTTGTACTGATGTTTCACAAGGTCAATGATTGCGTGCAGTAACATCTTCTTAGTTTCTACTTTCGACTGACATGTATTGTTTAGAGTGCTCAATTTGCTTTATAATTGCTCCTTATCAGAATTTGTAAAGTTTTCCTATTGGCTGCTCTCTCCCTCCCTCTCTCTCTCCGTATACATATATATATATGTGTGTGTGTGTGTGTGCGCGCGCGTATGTATGTATGTAAAATGAAATTTCTAAGTTTAATTTGTAACAGTTTCTTAAGTTTTGTTTTAATTTATTTGTCCCCTTTTACATTCAAAATGAAGAATTTGCTTTTGATAAATTTTTCCGAAGAGCATCATTCCAAAATTTATACCTGTCATAATATGATTATTATATAATACCAACTGTGTATGCATATAGTGTCAAACGTGAAATTGAAGTCTTCTACCTGATAAATGAAACCTAATCTAATATATTTGCAAAACTGTAAAATTAAATAATATAAATGAAGTCAAACCATAACTTTGCAATGCTTAATCTGGTATTCATATCGTAACTACGTTCTACGCATGCGTTCTCTCACGTCAATCTAATTGTGTAATTTTTTTCCAAAATGAACCATCCATGAGTGCATCATTATGCCGTTCCATTATCATGTTCTGCTTGACTACATAAAATTTTAATTACCTGTATGTAAGACAAAATTCTATCTTTAATTTCTAATACTCCTTTTTGCTTCCTTGTACCAAGTAAATGAAGTATCGCGAAAAATTTCGGGTGTCGTATTTATACTGAAATATTCATTTGGACGAGTTTTTTGCATGACATCTGTACGCACGTATAAAACTGGGCGATGCCATCGATGACTTCGTGAGTTCCTTCAAGGTAGAGCACGACTAACACCTGCGGAAGAACATCATAAGAGATCACAAAGGACTGTATTGGGACGCTGAAATACAAGAAGCGAATGTCGAGGCCTACGCAGGATCCCTCTGAAAAGAAGCCCTAAAGAGGATCCGAGCCCTAAGGAGGATCCCTCTCGAAAAGCTCATTACCTCATACGATATGGGCGTGAGAGAGTGATCTATCGTAAAACAATAGAAAAATGAGTTGGCTGAACTTCTGTAAAGAATCAGCACGCCTCCCCATAAATTTAGTATTCTGTACAAGGAAGTCATGCGTTGTACACATCAGCTTTTTTAATTTGTTATTATCCTGTCTATCTTAAAATTAGTAATACGATTCTAAGAAATTTTTCTGAAGTGTTCCATTTCAAAACTATTCCATGTCATGTATTTCTTATGTCATGTTAACGATACATGTTGTTATAAGATTACGGCAAAACTGAAAATGGTATCCTTTATTCGCTTCTGAAACTGAAACTTAAACTAAACCAACAGCTGCAAAATGATGCTCCCCAGCTGAGCAATATTATAATTTTGTTCTTAAATCTTTTGTCAATAGCATAATATTCACTCTTCTCATGCTTGCCCTTAGTACAGCTAACATCTTGTTTGTCGCCTGTCTTCATGACTTGTTGCAATGCTGTAAATATCTTAATGTTTGCGTGTAATTATGGAACAGCAGGGGTGCATTTTCCTCCTACATAACTATGTATGTTTCCAGAAAGCTATGCTAAGAATTAAGATATATCGAATATCCAGGAATGCTTACTGAATAATTCACTATTTCCATCATCATTGTCTTTGTTTGCATCATTGGTAGCCTATGCTGACAACATTTAATTTTATCATTGCATGTACATTTTAAACTTACTTTGTCTCCTATTTAATATTTATCCAAGACTTTTCTTTTAAGCGTTTTTACTTGAACTAAAAAAAGTTACATTACTTAAATAATTAAATACAGAATAATTATTATGATATTAGACTGCGTTATTATCAACAAATATAACATAAAATAATAATAGTTAAATACTAATACAATAATATTAATTATTAATATAGCTGTAATTATTATTTTTTCTGCATCATTGTTATCATCTCATATGCGCAATTTGTTACAAATCCGAGTGTGTTTAAATGCATATTTCTCATAAAGCCGAGAGCTTCCTGCGTTTTGAACGTAAACGACGAAAACACTCAGTCAGTGTCTATTATTCTGAAATTAGATTTACCTAAAATAACTGAAATTCATTTGCCATATTGCTTCCACATATCGAAATAAAAAAGGAAAAATTGTTTCCCCAATCATTCTGCTTTGCTTCTAATATAAATTATTTCTTTCTAAAAGTGTAAAATATTCAGTAAGTTATTTGTGTATCACTCATAATTCATGATTTTAAAAATAAATGTATTTTTTAAAAATAATGAGAATCTTCCCACTTTTCATCTGGCATGTAATTGTTATTATTATTTTTATATATTAATACACTTATTTAGAAATTCAAGATTTCTAGATAAGACGTGAAAGAATACACTGATACAATTATCCATTAAACTATCTGTTTTCCTACATATGTAATTAAGAAGACTGACATCTGCGAGTTTACTCTTACAACAAGATATCAATCCATAATAGATGTAATTGGATTATTTTCTTAATAAATGATTAAATAAATCATGTTATGATAAAAGAATACAATATTATCTTTATAAAAATAGCTATAATATAGATTAAAGACAACATAAAAATCTAATATGAAAAATGTGTCTGCGTAGTAAAAGAAGTTTCTAATAATAAAACAAATTATCAATTCTTTTTCTAAATTTTAGTTTAATCGTACAAAGAATGCTTTATTTACATGACAAGTACACCTTCATACACAATACTTTTGCATATATATTAAGTAAAATACGTCATCTTCACAATATATTTATGAATGTATGATTTCAAAGACGTCACATTACTGACAATCAAATATTAGCATAACATTATTGAGTAAATTTTGAAAGATGTTTTACCAGGTAAAACGTATGCTATTCATATGAATTGATATAATATTAATTATTTATTTGGTTAACAGGTAAAATATCTGCAAATTTCAAGTCATTTTTGATAATTTATAAGAAATTCACTTAATAGACTACTAATGTAATTTTCATAAAATTACAAAACAAGTTTTATTAAAATAATCATTAATAAAAAGTGAACTCTTCTTAAAATAGTTAAACTTTATAAAATTTAGTTACTTAAATTTAATAATGAAGTTATGAAACATTTAAAAAAATATCTTCTTAATTTCACAAGTAGCTATTTAATTTTATTTCTGTAAAATCATTTTAATTTAATTACTTAGCTATAACTAATTTTTACAAAAAATCACTAACAAAGAAATTTCGCTTCAGTTTATCAAAAAATAAATTATTCCAATTTTGGTAGAAATTTAATTAATTATAAATAAATATTTAAGATGAGGTTACTTTCATTGCACATTTTTTCATGAGAAACTAACAGACATTGAATTTAAAATTGTAAACAAAATGGACTAAAATAAAAACTATGTTGCTTAAAAGTATCGACATATTTTCGGACGCAACGCATCGTGATTTATAAAGGCCAAAATTAAATGCATCTTGAGCAGACATAAATATCCAAAAATGCGCGTAACATATATTAGTCATCGTTCATGGTTGCATATAGAATGTCGTTCATACTTTACGACATTCTATGTATGTATACTTTGTGTTTCACACTGTATGTTGGAAATAAATAGAAAATATAAAGCTGAAAAATATTTAGAGAAGGAATAAGTAATGGATTATTCAGGGAACATGTATAAAACTAGAAAACTTAAAAAAGATGCGAAATAACAGTAAACGTAAAAATGTGCATGAAAAGGTAACATAAGATGCGATTTGATCTATATCATGTAAAAATGTAATTTTTAAGAATAAGACAGTCGATTTCTCGAATTCCACTAGGCGTATGGGCTTTTTTATTATTCGAATCTTAAATTAAACTCTGTTAAAAGTTTTAACTCAAAAGTTTCGAAAGACTGGTTTATAATGAGGTCTAAATGAAGCATTCATTAAAAAAAAGAGCAAAATCATAGCTGTTTCAGTTGAGTGGCATCACTAAATTTCTTCAAAATATATTGAAAAATTGAGCTTCTTCATATAAGAGTTTAGATTAAGTGCTCCTTTAATTAAATTTATTTTCTGTGTCCTGAAAAAAAAATGCAGGGATATTTTAAAAATTTGTTTTCTTCAACTTATTTTCCATCACAAATCGATTTCAAATTTTCCTTCAATTAAAAACGTTTAACATGTAGAAGTTTCATTTTTCATTTTAATTCGAGAGATTCGTTAGTCTTTTGGATTCGTATTTGAGAACATTCATGATTCGTCCATATCTCGAATAATTTTCAGAATGAAGGCTAAGAATTCTCTCGATAGACTGTTAGTACAGAAACAAATAGCGTTAATAACGTACCACACAATGTATTCAAAAATGTCATACTGCCTATTTTAATTAAGTAATATGACATAATACATCCTATAACTTTAGAACCGATCCTAGGTTTTACAAACTTCAGACTGAATTGGTCTTGGGTTTGGAGTTAAAATATTTTAACTCTGAGGAATGAAAATTCAACAAGGAAAACATGCTGAGTAGGTAGGAAGAATTAGTGGTAACATCTGAATAATGGTTTGTATTCAAGCGCTTTCAAAAACAAGCTTGAGAAACAGATATAATCTAAATTAGTATCTAACCTAGATTATATCATGTTTATATATTTGAGTAATTGTTAGTTTCGCTGATTTATTAATATAAATGCTAGGAGCATTAAGGGTCTAAAAAGGAAACTGCCTATAAATTTTTAAAATACCTCGTAAGTTTATCTGGAGCGATTATACTTGAATTCGATTGAGAGCGTGAACATGAGAAAACCAATATTTGGACATACATTTCAGCGATTACCTTTTGGTCTGTCTGCCTGTTAAGTAAATAACTATGACAAAAATATAAAACGGTATATGAAATTTTGCTTTGGAAATTTTCCCTGTTTAAGTTATTAAGTAAGTTGTCAGATAAACATTATCAAATAATAAAAGCAGAAAGAAAGTTCTGAAAAGAAAGTCGATTAAGCTTACCGCGCTTTAAGCTGCTTTATTTTAACAAGGTATTCATATTTTGCAATTTGTATAACCTTTAAAATTATCTCATACAGCATATCAAATTTAACTCATCCAACAGTAATCATGATACATACTTTACAATGAATATCAACAAGAATAACAATAAAAAACAGTACACATAAAATTATAAATATACATAAAATATCTGTACAGTAAAAATTTATAACATATGGTATGTTTAAGAATGCAACATCATCAAATTTAACAAATGAAACAGTCTTTGAATATCAGGAAAATTAGAGTCAACAGTACATATATTTTGCAACTTAATGCCAAATATTTACAGAAAGTAAATGCCATCGTAACTGGAACTAAATTAATAGATAATTAGTATGAATTATTAAGCAATGAAATTTTAAAAGCAAAATTTGCTTGCAGTGTTTCATTTTACAATAAGGAGCAAATAATATTTATAGCTTATTTTAGAAATTACATAAATCTTACTGGTTTTTCTGCACATATCGTGTTTGAAAAATGGATCATTATGTAAGAAAGATAATTTTCTCGCCTTGGTATTTTGCTTCCATACTTTTATTAATAATAATCCTTTTTCATATAACTTACGTTACATTCATAGTTTAAAAACTTTTAAAGATTTCGTTTGAAATGAAAGAACCTAATTTTTAGACACAGTTTTGCTGATGTTTTTTTCTGAGGATTAGGAAGTGTCAAAATTTAAATAGCATTTAATTTTTTAGATAAATATAAAGATCTTGCGTATATTGCAGATCATGACTTTCAGACAGAATTGGTCTGTATTGAGTCAAATTCTTATTTCTTATGAGAAGTTGCAGCAAAAATAAGATTATGGAAAACTGGTCTATGATTAAACAAAGATGTCGTAAAATGACATTAAATTAAAAACATTTAGACATTTTACTAACTGCTGTTAATATTTAGACAAAGGTTTGCCGTTAAATTTAGCATAGATTGTTTCAAACTACGTTTTAAATGCATATATTCATATTTTTAAACATCTGATAAATTTTTTTAATCTTAATTAACTATAAAATAAAAATGAATTTTGGCTAATTTTGAAAGTCCTGTTATTTCTGTTGCATCCAAAAGCTTGCGAATGGTTTCTTTAGACATTTACAAGGGTTTGAATAACTGATGATGAGGTAACTGACATTGCAAAAGTATTTAATTTTTATTCTCCTGTTTTTATTGAGAAATTCTGAAGCCGAAATGAAAAGTGAATTTAAAAATTAATTTCCACCAGTAAACATTTAAATGAATACACCTGTCCGAAAAAATAAATAATTTATTGAGTTGAACGCATTTTGTTCAGATGAATTTCTTGTGATAATAAGAATATGTCAGAAATATAGATATATAGTTATATTGCTCATCTTTCATGTTTTGCATATACTGCAATAGATTGCTTTACTTCAGTTTGGTACACAATATAAAACCAACACACTACATATTTCTTGGTCAACACTGCGATGAGAATTATTTAAGATAAAAGCGATGGACTGTTGTGCGAAAATAACATGGCACTATTAGCGACATCGTATATTTCCTCTTTTACACATGCACCTTTTGTTCTCTATAAGCATGCCTTTGTAGTTCTTCTTGTATTATTCCCAGAGTTTTATAAATAGTCTTAAAGCTCGGTCTGTTTGAATGCTTGCGATTCCAGCAAGCTTTCATGAGGTGGTATATCGGTAGCGGAGTATTATCGGGGCACTGAAGAACGTTGCCTTCTTTGATGAACTTCACAACCTCTTCGTGAGTCAATCCGTAGTAAGGTTGCAGAGCGAAAGAAAATATTTCCCACAAAACAACACCATATGCCCAGACATCCGATTCAACAGTAAACTTATTGTAAAGTATGGATTCCAACGGCATCCATCGAATTGGTATTGCGTCATGATCATTTCCTTTGTAGTAGTTAGCTGTGTATATCTTTTGCGATAGGCCAAAGTCTGATATTTTTACCACCATGTCTTCGCTGACAAGACAGTTCCTTGTGGCTAAATCGCGGTGAACGAATTTTCTTTCTGATAAGTACGTCATCCCAGCAGCAATTTGGCGGGCTATGTTTAAGAGATCCATGTGAGTTAATCTGACATCATTGTATATGTCACCATTTGGTGTTCTAACAATATAATTTGTAGGAGAACAAGTTCTAAGAAATTCATTCAAATCTCCTTTACCCATGTATTCGAAAAGAAGGCACATGGGCTTTCCTACAGCACAAACTCCAAGAAGTTTTACGATATTAGGGTGATCAAATTCAGACATAAGACAAGCTTCTCGTTCAAAATCTGTTTGGAGATCCTCCGAAGCCTCTTCTTTTAGCATTTTGACAGCCACCATAGTGAATTCTTCGCCTTTGAGGAGTCCCGGCGCTTTTGCCTGGAACACTCTGCCAAAAGCCCCTTGCCCGATATCTCGAATGTAGATGATATCATTCCGCGGATATTCCAGAATCTCCAGACGAGGATTTAGTTGGGCAGAAGTTCTGTGGTATGCCATATTCGAAGGCAACTTTTCCAGATCGATTTCAACATCGGTAGTTGGGGTAGCATTATAACCTCGGCGATATTTCTGGAGTCTTCTGCAACCCAGTACTAGGAGAATGACCATGGCAACAACTAGAAGGCTCAAAGCACAAGTTATGAGAAGGAAAGTAGGAGAAAAGACGGGCTCAGGCGGAGGCTCAAACATGTCCATTAGCTCTAAATCAGCTGCAAATATATTGCTGTTGTTTTCTGGGAAAAAAAAAGAATATCGATTATAAATTAAGAATTCTCTCATAATAGGAATAGTGACATAATAGCTTTGATACAAGTAATTTTAAGATATTTGATGAATAAGCATATATAAAACCAAAGCATAGATCAGACGTCAGTCTGATAGCATTTTATAGCAAAGTTTTGAAAACGTCTATGATTTATTTATACAAAATCGCTTGTAAATTAAGGAAAGAAAAAGAAGTGTTTTGAATATTCACTAATAATCCTAAGGTTCTTTTTGTGACATGGTAAACTGTTGACTGGTCTTTGCGCATTTAAAATGTTTTATTAAAACTCATAATAAAATAGGCTCAAACACACTGTATTTTTACGTAATGTCTTCTTACAGCAGTGAATTTTAATTAGGCTAATGTAAAAGAGAATTTGTGTTACAGCTGATTTTTTTATGTTACGTTACGTGTAGTCAGCTTAGATACATCTCAGCTAAAATTAAAAACGGAAATGCACCTGTGAAAGTCTATAAAAAGTAGCTGATATTAACGTAGAGGTTTAACAAATTCTTCTCTTCTTTTGAAATAAATTTCGTAATAGGTATTAAAACAACAGTAGAAAAATTTATCTTTACCACATCGAGGGATGTCACAGTGTTGCCAACGGATCCTCGGATCTATGGTATAACACCAAGGCATGGGTTCCTCTCCACCTGCATTACGGCAGTAGTTTTCAGAGTTGAGAACTTCGGGGAATACCATGGGCGGACGATTATGGTGATGAGGATCCTGGTTTCATGAAATAGAGCATAACATCGATTATATATACACAAACAAGCGTGTATGTACATACATATACAAGCATTATAAACAAGATGAGGAAAACGTCACGACCCATTTCAGTACTTATCGAAATCCACTATCATGATTTTGGTTTCATTCATCACTTAGATATTACATATTCTGTCTTCTAGTTTTATCATCGGACAGCTAATACAGCAAACACAAGATTGAATAGCTACTAAGTCAAATAGCTGTTATGATTTTACTCAGACTTGCTCATTCATATCCTTAAGTTTACCATAAACAACAACAACAGAAAAGAGAGAAAGGAAAATGTTTTATTAAAAAAGCTCACCGTTATGTATTTTACCTTTGAAAATTTTGAAGTCAAATAAAAACCACAAAATCAAATAAATCCTGAAAACAGCCTTTAAACAATAGTCGAAGAAATTGACTAGAATCAAACTGATTATGGTGCTGATAACTTTTTTGATGGGTAATAGCCCATAATGTCATAATGGCAACTCGGTGTCGTTCAGATTGAATGATGGTCTGTCCAGGCGTTGAAGCAGTTTTCCTATGTGTAACGCGGAAATGAGACATCTTCTCTTAGAAAGCCGTCAACTATGGCATCCTTCCATTTAGGTAGATAGCCCTAGTTTGCTTTGCCGTAATCCAAATAATTCAGATCTAAATGTTATCATGATATTTCTGCTTCATTCTGCTCAGCAGAGTAGAGCCAAAAAGGACTGAATCGGCCACAGAACAATTTAAACTCATAATTATGTTTAGTAACAGATTTGAGATCCAATGTGCACTATGAGATGGAGCATTGTCCTACTAAAGAGGACCATCTGCATTAGGGAAGAGAGCGGTCACGGACGAGTGTGAGTAATGGACAGCGATATTAAGGTAAGTTGAAGTATTGGAAGTCCTTTCCAGCAATATAAATTCATTCATTGTACTTCAGCAAAATATTCCTCAAATGATAATGCCACCAACACCAACTTGTAAACTCATCATTATTATAAAAAGTTGTCATTTTTATATTTATTACAATGCATCATAAATTGCAATTATAGCAATGGCAAATTAGAATAAGTAGTATCTAGATCTCGATATTTCCTGGTAAATCTTCCCTAACAACAGATGTTCATGATATGTTCATAATTGTATTCTGTAATTCTCTTTGCTCCAAATTCTGATCCGAAGTCCCCATGTGTTGTGTCCATGGATATGATTTGTAAGATAACTAAACTGTAATGAGTTGAAATCTGCCGTTCTCTTGCTGATAAGAACGATTCTTATCAGCTGTCTTTCACCTCTATTATTCACCAGCGTTTTCCGACTAGAATTGTTCTGATTACCTGAAGTTCCTTTACACAGCTGCATTTCTCTAAATACCCCATATACTTTGTTAGACAGAATGCTTTGAATATTAGTTGTTTAAGAGAGGCTGGAACCAAGTCTTCTCGCATTCACGATCTTGCCTCGTTTAAAATTCATTACGAATCTTTCGTTTTACTCATTATCAGATTTAATACAGGAATAATTATTTCTTTTTAGGCTTAGAGGGCTTTATATCAGTTATTCCTGACTGTTATGTCATTGTGCATCATTGCTGTCTAATTCATATTAAAACAAAGATTCATCTCTAATATATTAATCGCTCATTGTATATACATATACATACATATAAGGTTAAGAATATATAATATATATAAGGTTAACCATAGATAAAATAGAAAAAGAAATACTCTAAAGAATTTTTTCTAGCATAGGATAATCTTTTAACAAAAATTTTGTAGTAATTACTCATATATGCAAGATATAAAAATGTGACCTAAATTCATTAAGAAATCAAGTTTAATTGGAATAAACTGGCAGTAGTCCTTTGAATTCCCAATTTTAATCCTCATACAACACTTTCAAGGCATTTTCATTTTCCCTGCAGTAACCATAGTGCAAAATTTCTTGCCTAATCGCTGTGCAGGATTAAAACAAAGCACTTTGAGATGATAAATACTCTGGCCATGATGTAAGCACTTTATTTTCTGCCTACGTTTGCTAACGAAAAGACATGTCTTGCTTGGCTGCTTCTGTTCATTATTAAAATTGTTTGTGGGGTGCAGATTGTCCACATTGTGATGTGCCATGCCATAAGATGTGTCTGAGTAGAGCACACAGCAAGTAAAATGATATGTGTACTGATTCTCAAGGGAAATGTGATTCTTCAGAAGTTACATCTAGTAAGACGCCATCAACATATCTGCCATTTCCAGCTATGCCGAATTACATTCCACATTTATTTAAATTCACATTTTGGTGGCCACAATTTACCTGGCTCTTCAATCGTGGCTATTAAAGAACATTTACAATTTTGATACTATGGCGATAAAAGCGTGATTGCAGCAGCGTCTGAACAGTATGAAAGCATAAGCGAAAAGAGACACAGTGTCGCAGTAGTAATGCAGAGGAAGAGGTTGGGAGTCAGAAAAGGTTTAGTTTACAAATTACTTTGATAGGACAAGAGATATCTGCATTAAGGGTTACGTAAGATCGCATGATCAATTTGAATGACGCAGTTTAGATTTATAGCGCTATTTTTTAGACAGAGAAAGGAAGTCCCCGAATGAAATAAAAATAAGAGAAGCTATAATGAATTACATTTAGAAGTTTGCTTTTTATATTTTTTATGTTGCACATATATATAAAATGCGTTCGCACATAAAATAAAAAAAAATTCAAAATAAAGTTCTATATTCAGTTAGGGCTATAGTCCCTTAAATCTCCTATTTAATTTAGCTACCTTTGCAATACTCGGTTTTCTGTTTCAGGAGTGCACACACTGCTTTCTTGCCCATCATTACAACTCGTCATTATTACTCGTCTCCTGTAGCCATCGATCGATGTTCATGCCGGTGTTATGGTGCGGACAACATCTTTTGGGGTATTGCTCTTCGTACATCCTGTGTGCTAGGCGTCCATTGTCACCTACTGGCGAAATCAGACTCATATCCGTATATTTCTCGTTTAACATGTAATCTGACATGTTTTATGAAATTTAACACCCGCGAATTCTGCAACGCCTACTAATGAATATTTGCTCGCTGCTGTTATTTTCCCCATACGGATTGAAAATTTGCATACGAAAGGGATGCTTCTTTTCGACCGCAGTGCTGTTAATTCTCATATTTGTTTGGTCATTCTCTTCCTCAGGCGCACTGTCTTCTCGACATTTATTTTTGCGATTGTCACTCACTAAATGTGGTTTGCGACCATTGGTTTTTATGATAATTTTTCATCCTCTTGATGCCTGCTATCATCCCTCCGAACACGTCGGTCGAATTCGGAAAAACCCTTTATATGCACAGTGCAATATATATATATATATAAGATAAAAAATATGAAAGCAAACTTCTAATTTTGGGGGACTTCTTCTCTCTATCTTAAAAATAGCGCTATGAGTCTAAACTGCGTCATTCAAATTAGTCATGCGATCCTACGTAACGCTTAATGACCTCTTGCCCAATCGTTAAATTGTAAACCCAAACTTTTTTAACTCGAACTGAAACTTTTTGACTCCCTCTCTTCCTACTCTGAATTGCTGCGACACTTTCGCTTAAGCTTTCTTCCTGGCAAGACGCTTTGCGGCTACCTTCTTTGTTCACTGAATGCTGAGCTAATAAAAATGTAGAGAACATAAGACGCTCGTCCGTATGTAAACCAAATATTGCGAATCCGGAATTGCTTTCCTCAATAATAAAATTATCTTCAATCCGGCAATGTCTGTCTGACCAAATTTCTTCGTTAGACATCTATTATATAATGTAAGAAAAGCTTATGAACTAAACAAAAAGGACCTGTAAGGTCAAGAATTTTGCGCATTGAGCTGCAAAATTTGAAATAAAATTAAAAAGTAATTCTTCAAGCTATTGCCTTTGAGTTAAAGTGATATTTCGTTCCTTTGCAAAAAAGTATAAATACAAAGTAAAGATCCAATTGTAATGCAAACGTAAAAACATAATATGTATGAAATATTAATAGAGAAAAATAGCAAAAGATGAATGCTTAACTTGATTGAAAATTAAAAGTTAGTATGTATGTAGAATAAAATGTAAGCTATCTCAAAACATATTAGAAAAAATATAACAAAAACATCATATTAAAAATAATAAGAACTACAAGCAGCGGTAAATGGAATAATTAGCCTAATTCGAATATCATCATGGACTTTTCAAAGGAAATGCCTAGTGATATTCGAACTCTGCTAAATTCCAGAACGCGTTTCGTCGAACAGGCAGTGAGACTGATAGCTAACAAATTTTTATTAAAAAGTCCCAATATTAATTTTAACCAGGTCTCAAATTCTCTGTTCCATTTCCCGACGCGTCCGATGCTAACAAATATAAGAGAAATATTTAGCTTGTGTAGTAAAACTATACAAGACGCCTGGTAAGGCAAATTTACAGCAATAAAATAAATAGCGAAATTGCTATTAGTCTAAATATTCACGAAGTTTATGGCTGAATCTTCTAGTTTGAAAAGTTATAACTTTTAAAAAAGAAGTAATATTAATAATGTCTTAGAAAGAGAATAAAAGATTAATATTGGACCAGTTTATGACCAAAATTTATAACTACCAAAAAATGAAAAGAATAACATACCTGAATGAAAGACTTCTTTCTGCTAGAAGCTGTTTTACAAAAATGGCAGAAAGAGGGCGTGGAAAGTAACGACAGACAAAAGTGAAAAAGATAAGAATTAAATTCACCAGTTGCGCGAGACAACACCAAAGGGGGGGGAAACACATCAAGAAGCAAAGTCCAATGAAACGTAACTAACTAAGGGGGATCTGAGATCTGAGCCCAAAATTATTGGGAGGGGTGTAGAAGGAAGTTTTTTACAACATGGCGCCTGTCCTGTGCGATGTCCATTTTTGAATGGCAAGAAAAGGCGAGAATACAAAAATGACTAATTTTTACTCTTGGTAAATTTGGCCAACAAAAGTAGTTGAAATTGGAAAAAAACAAAACAAAATAGTAATTTGTTAGTTAAAGTCGTAATTCTTCAAGCTAGAGGGAAATCAAGCTTCTTTGAATGGAAATTGGGCCCATAAAATTTAATTACAGGATAGATTTGGCCAGAAATATATATCAATTTACATATAATACAAATTAAGAACAAAGTATTGAAGTACGGAGCCAAATGCGTAGAAAAAAAGTTTTAAGTAGTGAGAGTGACAAGCTATACATTTTTACATTAGATGACTTAAATTAGCCATCCATTAATCACCTTCCTTTCAGGATTTAAGTAAATAATATCATTATCTAATTCAGGGTTCGTACCGGTCCTTATAAATGCTTATAAGTCCTTATATTTGAAAATAAAATATAAAGGCCCTTATAGGTGCTTACTTTTTCTTTAAAGCCCGTACTTTTTTGTTTTTAGTGCTTATTTTTTGCTTTTAGTGCTTTTTTTTAATGAACGCGCTATTTTTCCCGGCACCAAAGCCGAAACTAAATAAACAACTTTTCTTCCTAATATAGAATGTCAGATGGTGAATCATACTCCCGGAAATAGCTTTTCCCCGTTCTCTACATTAACATAACCTTTTGGATTAGTGTGCATGAAGAGTACAGACAGGTGCCCGTCGTTCTATTGGTCAAAGAAATGCGAAAGCAGTAGAAAATTCCGGTACATTCGGCATTCTTTTCCTCCCACCCAAATACTACACACGTTTGAATTTCTATCAAGATCTTAACAATTTGCATTCTCGTTCCGCTTGGTCAGTTCATATTCGTGTTTATTATGATCGTTAAGCTTATATTATGAGCATATGTATGAATGTTTATAATAACATAGTTGCAGTAACTGCTGAAGTATAGTAAACTTTCAAAAATTGTTGTGTTTTAACACAGATTAGCTTTCTAAGGAATAATATTCGGAATGGCTTAAATAAAGGGAAAGTAATCGAATAGTCAAAATAATTTCGTTTTTTTGGCCAATACATTATACAGTGCGAAGATTGGGAGGTTCTCCCCTTTCTCCACAAAATTTCGAATATTGAAACTGTTACAGTTCGCTGCAAAACAAGCAACAGACTTTTTTTTTTCTTCTCCAATCTGGATTGAATAGGACTAAAAGTTCTGCGGTCTACCAACCCAAGCGAAGAATGATTCTATTCCGGAAATTTAAAGCCGTCTGTTGAAAATTAGAATGAAAAACACCCCAGTTATTTCTATTAATCAATATGTTCTTTATTCTCGCATCAGTACCGGCAGGGATGTTTTCTGTTTAGATTCCGATACCAGCAGCTGCGTAATATCACGTAGGGAAGAATTACGGCGCACGTATTGCGCAATAACCTTTGCAATATTTTGCAGAGATAATTAATTTTGATGTTCTGTCCGAGATTTGTTTATGAACACTTAAAAGAGTTTTACTGTGCTTGCTAAGCAGAATATTTTTCAGTTCCATTGGTTTATTTTTATATGATGCAGCATATCGAAATGTCAAAAGCATTTATTTAGCGGAAAAATTTAAAGAGCGGCTACAGTCTACCCCCCCCCTCCGCTCCTCTTTTTCAAGTTACGCTCGACTGTCCGAATATTCGCCAATTTCCAAGTATGCGGATTAGTTAAGCTTTTACTGTTAAAGAATGACTGCATGAAGAAAATTTCTGTCTTCTGATTTCAGAAATGTTCCTCTTCTTTACTTAAATTACTCTGCTTGCAATATCTGTTAAGGGAAAACTGATATACAATGAAAATTTAGAAAATGTTCAGAATTTAGATTTAAATTATTTAAATATCAATATGAGTGGAAAAATAAATTGTATTTATTATTAGGCTCCAAGTGAATACAATAAATATGCCTTATTATTATTTATTTTCTCTATTTTGAACTGAAATTTCATCATTAAATCTTGTAATATAGTTCTGCATAGTTTTTTTCCCTCTCATTGTAAACTAGTTCTGTAAATTGAACTGTTATTTAAAATTAAAAAAAAAAAAGTTATTATTTTCCATGGTTGAGGTAATGCTTATCTCTTAATAAATACTGCATTTCTCATATTTTAAATTACGAGTCTAATTTTTAAGGTTATGCAGTTGTGTATAATGTAATTAGACAGGTGCTTATTTTTCTTAAAATGTGCTTAAAAAGTGCTTATAGGTGCTTATTTTTTAACTAAAATGTGGCTATGAACCCTGTAATTCAAATAATCTAAAAAAGCAGGTTAATGCCAGCTTTATTTAGGGAATTTTCAATGAATGCATTTGGTATAAGATTGTCTATCAAGATATTAACAAAGTAGTGTATTTCTTCTTGTAGGTTTTGTACAGATTCTTTTAATTCTGAGAAGTTGAGCATTAATTTACCGCTGCTTGTTGTTCTTATTGCTTTTAATATGATGTTTTTGCTATATTTTTTTCTAATATATTTTGAGATAGCTTACGCTTTATTCTACATACATATTAACTTTTAAATTTCAATCAAGTTAAGCAGTCATCTTTTGATATTTTACATTTTGCATTACAATTGGATCTTTACTTTGTATTTATACATTTTTTGCAAAGGAACGAAGTATCACTTTAACTCATAGGCTATAGCTTGAAGAATTACTTTTTAATTTTATATATATATATGCGTACATCTGTGTATATATATGTACACACATCTGTATATATATATATGTATACATACATCTGTATATTCACCGTTATCATAAAATCACCGTTTAAGCTTTATCCACTGTTTTCCTAAAACGTTTAATTCAATGTATAGAATTTGGAAGGTATAATCTGACATAAATCTTTTAACTTTCTTAACTGTTGTAACATTATATTTTGTTCTGCTAAAACTGAAAACACATTGAATATTATTAACGTACCTGTGACAAAGTAAAAAAGTAGAAAAAGAAAAATAAGGTACAAATGTTTCTGCTGTTTAGCAAAAGCAATAAAATTGCAAATCCTTTAAAAAGTGTCAATAAATGCGACTCAGTTTTTAATTTTAGTTTCCAAGGAAAGAAAGTATTTAGATCAGCATATTAAATGATTTTATACTTCAACTGTGATGATTTCAAGTAAATCAGTACTTAGGTAGGGTTGAAATGCGTTACATAATTTTGACAGAAACACACCGACTATCCTTTTTATTTCATCTCAGCTTTGATAAAAACATTACTCAAAACTTTTAATTATAGAATGAAAGGGAAAGAAAAGATAATTTAAACTTACCTGTGAATCCCATCTTTGGCAAGGTATTCCAGATTTAGTCACGTTAATAGCTCCTTGGTAAAACCGTCCTCTGTCTCTGATGCAGTGCTCTGAATAGATTTGACAACATATTACTCAGGAAATATAAATTTATAAATTATGTAAATAAATTACATTTGTTGAGAAATATAACCATATACTTTTGTTCTATGGCTTTATAACTTAAATGTTGTTCCATTTGCTTTATAACTTAAATTATACCTAAGAAAAGATTACGAAGTAGATAGTTGTTATTAGAAGTGAATTCCCTCCCTTTCGAAAAGATGAAGTAGAAGTTAGAAGAAGTTTATTTTTATAAGTAACATGATTGCATGTAATTTAGTTAAAACGAAGCTGGGGAAAAATCTCGGGTCTGTGGAAACAATGTATGGAATAATTTATCGAAAAGATGTGTATTAAAAGGGTGCGATAGTTTCTAAGAGCTTATAATTAAAATAGAAATCAAGAATACCAAAGCTCGTCGGTCAATTATTTAAACGTACTTGTGAAATCCGACCAAATCTAGAACTGCTAGTTGTTTTCTAATGTTGTTGCTAAGTCTAACGTTTCGTCTAAATGACCTGTGTCTTCAAAGCAAGATGAGAAATGAAGAATCTTTCGGCTTTTAGCACAACTTGAAAAAATATTTCAAAATACATTACGCTACAATTTTTTTGGTGCCAAACATTTTAGTCAATTACGTCTCTTATGCATCATGCATTCCAGATTCTTTTATTGCAACCACATTATCGTAATATTTTCAAAACTGTAAACATATTCAGTATATTTTTCATAGATTTTTTTTTGAAGACTCATAGCCAACCCTCCAAAACATCTGTATCAGCTACCGAATCTATTTTATTCCATCATTTTGCAACCGGAATCTTAACACAAATGTTGGCAAAACGAAAACGTCGCCGTTATTGAAGGCAGTCGCAGTCGAACGCTTTTACTTTTCCATTTGTCCCCGTTCTGTCGCCGTCCTTTGACAGCAACGTTTAAAGGCTTAACCTCGGAGGAATTTCTCATGCATGATGTATACGTAAGGATACAGCGCTACCATTCCCCGCATATTTAAGGCGAATAGGAAGGAAATCGACTTTGAATTTTTCATAAGCTCTGCAGCGGGGAAAAAAATTGTAGCAATGTAATGGGCATTTGCTTCTTTGATATATTTGACACGTTTGTAATTTTTTTTCCTTCTTTCCTCCATTTATAAGAGGGCAATAAATAAATAAATAAATAAAACGAAAAAATAAGCAGCTTGTCAAAATCCACCCCATAAATCATTTCATTCTCGATCTTACATATTTTACTTAAAAAACAAAAAAGGAAATTGATTGGTTTGAATGGGTGTTTATGTTTTGTTTATAAACAAACTAGCGGAAATATTCATCTCGAAATAAACAGATGTTTGAAATAAGGAAGAGTCAAAGGTGTAATAGGTATGCTAAAGTAAAAATATTTGATTTATTGGTGTCCGCCGATAACATCGCGGCAAAAACATCGTGGACGAAAACGTCGCGGAGAAAACAACGCAAGACGAAAACGTCGTGCTACATAACATCGTGGCAGAAAACATCGCAGTTCTAAAACATCGTGGTACAAAACATCGTCGTAGAAAATAAAGCGGTTCAAAAACATCGCAGTTCAAAAACAGCGTCGTCGAAAATATCGTGGTAAAAAATAAAGTATCTACAAATCATCGCATGACGATAACATCGCAGACATGCTTTTTTCAGGTTTTAATAATTGTAAATGGATATTCCCATAATGATTTGTGAGCGCAAGGTGTAAAGAAGGATAAATTTTACTTTCACATATTTTATTAACTAATAAATTTTTGCTGAAAACGTAAGAAGGAAACTTAAGCATAGAAAATTAAATGTAACTCATAGATTATACTTTTCATGAAATATTACCAGTAAAAACTTTATAAAAATGATTTATTAATGGCCTTTTTTAGTTAACTATGTCGGTTTAAAATTCTATTAAGTGCTATAAGTTGCATTAATTTTTTATGCTTAAGTTTCCTTTTTATTTTCTCAGCAAAAATTTATTAATTAATAAAAAATATGAAAGTAAAATTATCCTTCTTTCCATCTTGCGCTCACAAATCATTATGGGAATATCCATTTACACTTATTAACGCATGCCTGAAAAAAGCATGTCTGCGATGTTATCGTCATGCGATGATTTGTAGATACTTTATTTTTTATCACGATATTTTCGACGACGATGTTTTTAAACTGCGATGTTTTTGAACCGCTTTATTTTCGACGACGATGTTTTGTACCACGATGTTTTGGAACTTCGATGTTTTCTCTTTGCGATGTTTTTTTCCACGATGTTTTGTAGCACGACCTTTTCGCCTTGCGTTGTATCATTATGGGACCTCCGCGACATTTTCGTCTGCGATGTTTTTTGCCGCGATGTTTTCGGCTGTAACCCATTTATTTAATACTAAGATTTCTGAATTCCCAATTTTCTAGTATTTCTAATAACAAACCTTTAAATGTATATTGGAATATGTCTAATTTGCTGAAGTCGGTGAGTCTCGTAACGGGTATTTCAGAAACCTATACTACTGTATGGCTTCTTTTTCCTTGGGATTTCGTAAATTTCAACCAAGGTGCCACTTGATCTTACCGAGAAGCTTTTGTAAGCGGTGTCTATCAAATTACCTTACGTCCATTTGCATCTGCATAAGAGGTGTAAGAAAATGGAACGATATGTGGTGAAAAATAGTTTCGAATTGAAGGTTAAAAAAAAAGGAAAATAAAAAAATCTGAAAGGTTTCATATTTTAAATTACGTCCAAAGCGGTGTTTTTTTTTAACGTTTTGTGTGTTACCTTTATTTATTAAATATCATGTGTTTTGCACTCAAGCCATAAAATTTAGTTCAACAGCAATGCCGCAAAATAATTTAAAAATGATAATATCTTTAGAATTTCCGATACACAGTTTCGCGCGCTGGAGATAAAAAGGTTTTTCCCCCGTAGAGTGTTGCCATTGCTCGCTTTTAAATCGTTGAGTTTGTTAATCAAAAATTCGTTCAGTTTTTCAAAATATGAAATCGATAATAAAACAAATTAATTCGAAATTTCAAATTTGGTCCTCCACATGCTTATAGTCGTAGGAGGATAATGTCATTCAAAATTGGATGGCTCTAGGTACCGTTGTTTTATCATAATGCGAGAAACATACATACATTTATGCACATTCTTCACTATTTAATTTCTTCAAATATAATGCAGGACAACATTTGATGGCAACAATTTAAAAAGTGATACGTCGTTTATACTGATTCGAAGCAAAATTGCAAAACGAGAAGAATAGTCCTTCAGGCACAAAGCCCTTTTGGACTAATAAAGTATGTGTTTTTGTTTATCTGAATGTCTAGTGCAGTGGTTCTCGATCATTTTCCCCCGTGCACCCCTTTCAACACTGCTTATTCCCCCTTTACAAAACTTGAAAAATATACATAGATATTTATTTAGATTATTTTCTAACGTGTTTTATAAATTAAACAACAAAATGTACAGAAAATATCGGTAAATAACAAAGCTTGAATTCATAAACTAAAAATAAATACTTAACAGCTAAACCGTTAAGTATTTAGTTTTAGTTATTTAGCTATTAATATTTATATATTTAGCTGTTAAATATTTAGTTTCAGAGGGGAATGCGATCAGGTTGAGTACCGCTGGTCTAATATATGTGCTTTTGCATTGATAAAGTATTGTATTTTACATTAAACATATGAGCTGACCAAATTATATTATTAAACACAAATTTATTAATATGATTATTTATCTCTAATCTTTCTTGCACCGCTTTGAAATTTTGTACGCGCCATTAGCACCCGTGTGGTTGCAACTGCTGAATGCTAGGAGTTTGACCCGGGCCGGCTGCGTGGATTGTTTTCGTGGTTTCTGCTATATGTAATATGATGTCTGCGATGTGTGTATATAGTGTGGGCAAGCGTGTCCTAATGTATGTTATTATTATTATTATTATTATTATTATTAGTCCAAAGGGATTTGAATCCCGAAGGACTATTAGTTTCGTTTTGGCATTTTGCGTCGGACGGATAAATGTCGGTTCACTTTTCAAACTGTTGCCACAAAATGTTAGAGTCCTGCATTATATTTGAAGAAATTAAATAATGAAAAATCTGCGTAAATGTATGTATATTTCTCGTATTGTGATAAAACAACGGTACATAGAGTCATCGAATTTTGAATAACGGAATCCTCCAACGAATATGAGCACGTGGAAGACCAAATTTAAAATTTGAAATTTGTTTTATGATCGATTTCCTATTTTTTAAAACTTTGACGAATTTTTGATTAACAAACTCAAGGATTTCAAAGCGAGCAATGGCAACGTTGAGCAGAAAAAACATTTTTATCTCCAGCGCGTGAGTCTCTGTATCGGAAATTCTAAAGATATGCTCGTTTTAAAACTATTTTGCGATATTGCTGTTGCACTGGATCTTATGGTTTAAGTGCGAGGAACATGATATTTAATAAAGAAAGGTAACACACAAAATGTTAAAAAACGCCCCTTTGGACGTAATTTAAAATCTGAAACATTTCAGATTTTTTTTTTTATTATTTTATTTTATTCTTATTTTTATTGTGCTAGGTGTATATACTAGCCCTGTCTTATTATTCCAAAGCAAATTAAGGTAATGTCATGTAGGTATTTAGAAAGTATATGTATGTAACAGTGCTGGATTGCATGTCGGCAAATATGTATTAACAGAAGCATGTAAATAACTACTAATGTATATCTGCCCTTGTTTAGCCATGTACAATGCTATTCTTGAAGATTCAAAATCACTGGACCCGGGCACTTTGGACGGGTGTCTGCCCGGTGGCATTTGGTTCACGGAACTGCCAACCGGATGGTCCAGGCGTTGGGTTTGGGCGCCTTGTGCAAGCCTCCCATGTGGCCTCTCTGGCTTTACTCTGTATAAGGGCGGACGTGGCCCTATATGCTAATTAACTTAATAGTAAAGGGGTGGTGGCCACGTCCTCCGTCACTATCACTATATGTACTCCA